TTTTTTTTTTTTTGGTATGTAGAAATTAGGGATTGAACATGTTAACACCTAAAAATAGTAGAGATTGTGTGGAACCAAGTACTTATCTAGAATGGAGAGAGAATGAAGAAAATAATCCTTAAAACTCTTTGAGGTTAAGGCTCCATGGATCCTCAAAAACTCAAGCTCAAGTTGATATTACATATAATCACCTTAAGATTACAATTCTAATTGGTGGGTGTTCGGCATTCTAATTTTAATGGGATTTAGCCTATCTAATCCTTAAAAAACTCTTCTAGGATGGCTCCACATGTCCTAATTCTCATAGGACTCAATTTAAGGTATAACATTTGCCCACTAACAAAGAAGTTTGAGTATAGTAAAAACTTGTTTTGTTTCATTCCAACATAGGTTTTATAATAGGTAGCTTACTCATAAAGTTCTATTGTACTTGGTTCCAAGTTTTGTGTAGGTTTTCGATCAAAACTTTGTGTAAAGCCCTTCACTTTCATCATTGGTGACAGCATTTAAAGCCTTTGTTGATTACAAGTTTTTGGTCTGTGTTTGAGAGATTCTGAACCTTCATGACAGAGGTTTCATTTCCAACTGTGACTACCTTGTTAAAAACCTTAATTAGTAAAAACCTTGTGGGATAAAAATCTAGCTTAAGGGACAAAGAGTTCAGCATAGGTTTTCCTTCGTACTCAAAGCATTTGATGCAACTTTGAGTAAAAATGTTGTGAGAATCAAGTGCTTCATAAATTGTTTGCATTTCACATAGGTTTTGCGATTCCTTCATTTGTTGACATTTCTGCACCTTGTTTTTTCATCTTTATTATCTTCAAAATTCAATGTTGAGTTGATGTTTTAGTTCTTGTCCATGATTGATGCACATTTTTAAGAATTTTTTGTTTGCTGAGGTTGGTGTTCTCTCTTCATATATTCGGATGTTTTGCTTTAATTCCATTCTTTGTTGACTATGTCACACTTTCTTTCTCTTGAAGCTGCTTAATTTAGACTTTTCTCATGTGATTCACTTCAGTTCTCTTGCACAGTTTTTCAAAAAGATGTGTGTCATTGATTCTTCTACTACAATTTCTTTATCTACATTCAATGACTACATAGGTCTTTGGAACACTTACTAAGAAGTTATTATTTTTCAGTTTGTAATTAATTAAGGTAGAAAATCATAAAACTGCATATTTTAATAACTGAATTAGTGGTATCAGTGGGTGTGCTAAATTGGAAGTTGTACCAATCATTTTCCAAACTAGAATTAAGCATGTGTCTAAGATTATTTATTTAGGCAAAATATTTTTGCTTCTATTTCTCATGTTAAGGAATTACAACTAATTGGATTTAGGCACATGCCGCAGAGGTGAGATCCCATAGGTGAATACTACCCCACTTCCTTAATATCTATCCATTTATTCTTTTGTGAAATATAGCATAGGCTTGGATTCCCTTAAAATCTATCCATTTATTCTTTTGTAAAATATAGTTTAGGCTTGCATATCAAACTTTTTGTTTATTTCCATTTATATATATTAATCAGTTCCTAGCAGATACTGCATATGATTCATTTTCCAATTCACGCAGGCAAGAGGAAGAGGCAGACAACAATGAATGTCTAACAGAACTACCGTGGTGTAAACAATAGGCAGGAAGAAAAAAAACCTTTAGTTTATAATTGTTTAGGGGCCGCGCGGACGCAGGCCCCCACTGTCACAAATTATGACGTAGGCTCTCCCACTTGGGGAGACCTTAGGGAAGTGCACCTCCGAAGTGCAATGGAGGCCACTTCGCTAGGCCATGGGTCTTGTTGATTACCCATTGACCCCGTCCAGGTAAGTATGTTTCAATGTGGTGGGAAGATGATTTTTATACCTCCACCTCGCCTTTCTTCTTTTGTTATTTGTCCATGTGGGATTCCCTATCTAAGCCATCTCCTAAGAGGGAGATGGTTGTAAGAATATTCTTTTCCTTTTCCAATTGTTGGCAGACAAGAAAATGCTTTTAGGGAGAAGTCTTACCATGATCATTGTTTTTATTGTTCAATAGTCCTCCATAATGTGAAATAAGAAGGTTGTTGCATTCTCTTCGTCGTTTTTATTATCACTTGGAGACATAATTTGGCTTAGTTTTTGCTTATCACCCCACGTTTTATTAATTAAGTACCCTCTTTATCCTAAAATAATTGTTATTTATTGACATTATGTTTATTTCAAATTAATTGTCACTTTTTTTTATTTTTTAGGATAGACAAATATTTTTCTTTCTACTTTAACCCTATTATTATCCATTTACTTAGTTAATTATTCTATCACAAAAAGTCTCACATTATCTTAATCTTTTAGCTTTTTTTAAAGATAATATAAGTAAATAAATAAATTGTCCCCAAATCCTTAATTTAGAAAAAAATCCAAATACAAAAATTATTTTAAGATAGGGGGAGTAGTTCATTTTTCATATATAATATTTAATTAAGCTAATGCTAGATTATGATATTTTTCTTGAAGATTGAAGTTAATTCACTAGGGATAAGCATTTTCAAGTACAAGTCAGGTATGAACTATATTTGGTAGCTAACTTGAAAATTTTCGGGTACATCTTTTTAGGGATTTGCATTGAGGCTAGCATGGACAGTCTATTTAACGCCCAAGGACCTTTCTAAAAGTGTATTAATTGCAGCAGTGCAAGTACATTATTTTTATCTAAATCTTTAGTTAAAAATTGTGTACCCTTCTAGAAATTCTCTCATAATGCACTTCATTTAGAATTTACAATTTGAGGATCTAATTTAGAATTTACAATTTGAGGATCTAATGATTGAAAAGTTGGACAATGTTACAAAAAAAACCTACCTTCGGTTAATGCTTGAGAATATGCTGGATTATGCGGACCATGTTCAGTTAAATTAACTCTAAACACATGATTGCATGATAACATTGACACGTCCAAAGAATATGTAGCAAGAGAAATGCTAGGGACACTTTCTTTTGAGCACTCTTTATGTGATTGGGCCACATGGAATATAAATCAATGTGAATGGTGACTAGTTATTAACATTTACGTTAATATTTTTAAAAATTGAAATAATAACAAGTTATATTAAATTTATATCACACATGTCAGAATTGCATAGAGAGTGCCCAAAGGAGAGTGTTTGTCCTTAGCATTCCTCTATGCTTTCTTATTACAGTCATTATAACTAAAGTTGTTACGTAAAAGAGTTTTTTTACAAGAAATTGTAGGGCTTTACCCTATAAGGAGCCCTTCCAGAAATTCTCAAAGGCCTGAGGCAAACCCAAGCCTATGAGGGGGTTTGGAAATGGGTTTCAACCAACAATAGAACCACCTTAGTTAGAACTCACCAGCTGCGTCATTGCCCCAAGCACAAAGATGCTCTTCGCAAAAAGTGGGCTTACTTTTTCTATTGTGATTGGAAGAGTGCATTTTTTCTCAAAGAGCCAATGCAGGACTTGGCTACCAAGTAGGTAGCTAGGTATGTAAACTCTATCATCGGCCTTTTGTTCAATAACTTTAGTTAGAAAGAAGGATCAATGTTTAATA